TAGAAAGTACATCAAGATACAGAAGGATTAGTTTTATAGTGATTTTTCACTTGTTTTTGATCAGCTTCCAAATGTCCTATGTAGATGTACATGTTACAGACTAATGCAGTCTTTGTGACTTCTCAAAGCCTCTTGAACTTTAATTCTAATATTTTGTTTTTGTTTAGTATTATGTGCCTTTTAAATGAATTTTCTTCAGCCAATTGTGAATGTAGCAGACATAGTTTAAAACAATTTTTCTTTTCCCTCTAAGTTAAAATGATTAATTTTAAGATTTGCTAGTAAGATATCCAGACTACATATTGAAATCATTGAAATTCCATTCTTTCATCATTTAGTAACTTTATCATACCTTGAAGATAACTTGAATTATAAATTCAGGATATTAAGAAATAACACTGCTTTTTAGAGTGATTCCCATGTCTCATAGTTTTGTGGGTATATGAGAAAGATTAGATACTTGATAAGCAAAAACTCATTTTCTTTCTCCTCTGTGCTTTTATTTAAAGCAAATCTTCTTTCTTAAAACATTGTGCTGAATTATTTTAATTAAAATTTTTTTCTACAAACTTCAGAGGGTGGATTGGATAGTTGTCTCTTTGAAAGATTTTTCATATTTGCAAATTGGATCCCGGAGTGAGCCCCTGATACCATGTTAAACTATTGAGTCCCTCCTTTGATTGGACAGGGAAGACTAGAGCTAATTTCTCTGTAGAATTAGTTGGTGTTGATCAAAGTCAACCTTAATTTTCCTTCCAAGATGAAGCGATCTTCCAGTCACACTGGAATTTTGACCCATTCCCCCTGTGTTAAGTGGCTCACGGTTATCAATTTCCCTAGAGTGCTGAGGCTGTACTGCAGAAATCCAAACTTTCAAAACTTTCATGGGGGCATAAGTTAGAGACTGAAAACCCACTGTCTGTAGGCACTGACTGATTTGTTGTATCCGTGCATCCACTTGGTTGTAATTATATGTATGTACCCCTTTTTATGATACCAAAGAAGGAAGGTTTCCATTGTTAACGCTAAAGGACCTCTCATGTCACCAATTTGTACATGCATCAGCATGTGTTACAGTGGGCTCTGGGCTTCTAATGCCACCCTCATCCTTCCTCTGTCAAGCAGCTTTTTGAATTTGGATGTGCAGCCCAATCCCAGGTGCCTTAAATTCTAATTCTTGTATAAATTATATCTCTTGTTACTAAAGAAATTATTACTAAATTAGTACTGCTACTAAGTGTGTGCATGTGTGTATACACACATGTTTGCCTTTTCCTCATCTTTGGATATGAAAGTAGTCATTGAAAAAAAAAGAAAGTAGTCATTGATTTTTAAGTGTTTATAAACTATAAAGAAGAACTCAGGATTGGAGTCATGGCTTAATTGGTTGAGCCACTAGCCAGTGAGCAAAAGTATCAGGTGTACCGAGTTTGAGTCCCCATCTTAGACCAAAAAGAAAAAGAACTCCATTGCAGCTTTGGTAGATATTATAGAATGTTAACTGTCATGAGTGTGTATGTGTGTGTGTGTGTGTGTGTCTCTCTCTCTATATATATATGTATACATACATACATACATATATATATATATATATATATAAATTGGGATCCAGTTATATGTGAATTTCAATTTCTCTTTTTAAAAATATTCATACTTGTTATAAATATTTTTCGTATATTAAAAATGACTTGGAGAAGATAGTCATGTTTCTGAGAGTAGATAGAGTAAAAAAATTACAGATTTGTTTTATACATTTATCAAATTTCATAGTTCTAATAATAATTAATCATATGAAACAATGATATATTTGCCTATAAATACATTTACAATGCCAACTCAGTAATTTCATCACTGAATGGTAGCTGAATTGCTTCTGATATATTTTATTCTTGATATTGAACACCATTTCTTAAATGAATCCTCTTAGAATTCAGTAGAAGCTATGAAGCTTCTTTGCAGATAAATGCATAGTCACACAGAGAACTAACTATAATGATAATCAATTATGATATTCCAGGCATTCTGCCAACGGCTTTACATATGTCATTTCACTTAATCCTCATCACTGCTCTATAAGGAAGGCTCTGTTACTGTCTTACATTTTACAGTAAAGATTTTGAAATGTAAGGGGCTAAGTAATCTCTATAAAAAATCAAGGATCAAATTCTGATTTTTATCTCCCCAAAGTCCTTGTGATTTTAAAGAACTCATTAATTCCTATGGTCTATTTACTGATACTGAAGTTAAAAATAATTTGCTTATGATAAGAAATGTTTATTGGCAGTGATGAATATATATGGTTAATTAAACTTATTATTTATACAACTTTTAAAATTGTGTCATGATATTTGTTGAACATCTACTATTTTGGATACTTGATTAGGGATTGGGATATGGCCTTTTTCCCTAAAGAGTTTACTGGGTCTGGAGGTAGTGTGCTTGTCTAGCATACACAAAGTCCTGGATTCAGTCTCTAGCACAGCAAGAAGAAACGGTATATTTTAAAAAAGTATGTGCATGAACTTATGAGAAAAAAGAAGAAATTTTATATACAATAATTAGACATAAGCTATATGTGAAAATTGAACTCTTCACTTTGTCCTGCTTGGGACAATTATCATTCTCTGGTTGCCTGATTTATTAAAGGGTAAATCAAAGGCCACCATATCCTTTGGGACTCTGAAGATTCAGTGTGTCATAAAAATTATGTCCATAAAGTGACTCTGAGAACTAAATATGCATCACCTCCAGATTCCTGAGAGGTTTCATCAGCTTCATAGATAGGTTAGCCCTAGGGAACATGCTCAATAAGGAGATTCAGGAATGTGAAGCCAGTTCTCAGACATTCAAGCTATGTGTCACAGGGTAATTCTGTTGAATTGTATGTATATAGGGCAGCAAAACATCTTGACAGTTGCTGTACTTTGGCTTAGGTAGGATTCCTACTGACAGGGAGGGGTTTATGTTTCAAATAGTGCAACATAAACTTTCATGATGCAAAAGAAGTAGTAATTAACTGCCAATCTTGGAATAAACCCTCTAGCGTGGGAAGCTTATTTAAGTGACCACTTAAAATCAAGTGCTTGCCTCGTATGCATGAGGCCCTGGGTTCGATTCCTCAGCACCACATAAGCAGAAAAAGCCAGAAGTGTGGCTGAGGCTCAAGTGGTAGAGAACTAGCCTTCAGCTGAAAAGCTGAGGGACAGCACCCAGGCCCAGAGTTCAGGCACCACGACCAGCAAAAAAAAAAAAAAAGACTCTCAAAAGAGTAACAGTAGCTATCGTGTAATCCCTCCTGCTTTTAACAGGAACAGAATATAAGACAGTTGTACATTTGAGTCGAATAGTTACAGTATAAATAGTTGTCACAGATTATGGTCATTGTTGATATAAAGAATGGATGATATCAAGCTTTCTGATAGCATGGTTTTCAAATATTTGTGTAGCTTTAGAGTTTTACTTTATTAAAACTACTATAACTTAAGCTACATACAAAATGGAATTATTTCTGAATGATGCGAATTTTCTCAAAGCAAATAGGCACTTGACTGCTGCTAATAGTTTATGCCCTTCCATTCATTCATTCTGTTTATTTGAAATGTCAATATTTTGTGTAATACAAACATTGTGTATTACATTTGTGATATATTTTAATTAGATTAATACCTTGATTTATATTTCACTTCACAGTGTTCCCATATCCCTACACTATGTCATTGAAATTATTTTTAAAAATAGAGCAAGTATAAAAACCTATTAGGTTTAAGAAACTAAGGAACAGAAATTCCAGTAATTGTTCAGTAATTTTTCCAATGTCTATGCAAATGTCTTAATAAATTTTATTTATTTTCAAAAGAAAAGTATAGGAGCAAATATATTTCTTAAATTCAGTCTTGGGAAATACATTTGAAAAGAAAAAATTTGCATTAAACAAATACTTGAGTTGTTTTGATGTACATAGTTGATTAATATTAGATGTCCATCACACTGTCTTCACGTAAGAATTGAAGACATAGTAACTGTCCAGTTTTGAATTTACTGTGTGTAGGGGGAACTTAAGACCTTTTGATTTACTAATAGGCAGGCCTCAGGGACAATAAAACTTGACATTCTTAACTGTTACTAGTATTTCTCCCTATAGCCAGTGCAGTTCTCTTTTTAATGACTTGGAAGCCAGAGTCATAAACTGAGTATGCACCCAAGGCGCTACTGGAAATTGCAAATAACACTCCTGTGCTCTCTGCCACCTAAGCAGAAATTTTGGTGGAAGGAAGATACAGAAGAGTTTTGACAATAGAATGAACAGAGAAGGATAAAGGATGCATGGAAAGACAGACATGTGCAAATGTTTCTTATGTTTTGTAATGAGGTTTATTCAGATGGACACTTTCATATCTACAAATACTCTTTCTCAAAAGCCCAACACTGGATTGGGGCAGCCTTTGTTGTGTGTGTGGAGGGGTGGGAGGAGGGGTATTGGCACTCATGAGATAATACAAATAATCAGTGAGGGAATAATTAATGATGTGGCAGAGAATATTTTTTGATAAATGCTTAGGGTATGAGGTGACAAGCGTGAAATTAGAAAATTCCTTCAGCAATCTAAAATATAAATAGCTTTTGGAACTGAAAAGAGTTTCACAGCTGAAGATTTTATTGTGTTGAGAGGAAAAACTTTTTTCTCTCCCCCACTCCCTCCTCCTTTGCAAGTTGTTTGTCCATTCACAAAACAAATACTCTGAAGCCCAGCGCAGCTCATGGGAATAAATTTCAGGTCGAATTAGTACAGTTTCCTTGCTGTCAGGATGCTGGAATTAATGGTGTTTTGATGACACGAATTTTGAAGGGCAAACAAAGAAGCTGAAGGGAGAGAGACATGACTCCTTAGAAGCTTGGTCCTCCTCTCCCCCAGCCTCTCTTGTCTTTCCTGTCATCCGTCTGCCAATCTCCCTGTCCATGGTTAGTTAAAGGCGCTTTTTATCCTCTTTTCTTTCCCACAGAGTTTGCCAGATCCGGCCCGGTGCCTGGGTTCCAGGAGGACACGCTGCAGTTGGCCTTCATCGACTTGAGACAAGTAAGTCTTTGTGTTTTTGTTTTTTGTTTTTCTTTTAAGATGTGTGACTGAAGACCATCAGGTCTTAAGGAAAAGGGGAGGAGTGGGGGATTGGCATTGGCGATTCACACTGGAGACCTAAGGGGTTTTCCCTGTATTTGAGGCCACCTCTTTTATTTAGCTATCTGGGATCCTTAGCTCTGGTGGAGTTAAAGGTTTTGTGGGTAGAAGGGAAGGCAGGGGGTGGGAGGAGGGATCCAGCAAGTAGAGAGACTCAAGTGACCCTCAAGTGATGCGACCCATTGTGTTGTAGTTGACTTCTGCAGACACAGCGAAAAGATAACTCAACAGACCAATGCTAAGCAGGTGCACTGATGCAGAGACTGTCTGCCTGGACAACTTTTGTCTAGAGATAATGTGGCCAGCCACATTTAAGGAAAATGAAATATTTGTTATTCTGGATTGTAGATTTGGTTTGTTGGCTTTAGACTTCCCATTGCCTCCTTGGTAGAATGTGGTGTCCCGTAAGTAACTAGTCATTTTTGGAGTTGATTAGCAAAGACTCTTAACTGATCATGTTAACCGGACAAGTAGCCCTATGAAAGTAATGTGATGAAAGTTAGTGCTTAGACATACCTGAGCTTTGGCAAGCTCATTAGATAGAAAGAGTTGCTCTAAGGCTATTTCTTGCAAATCAAAGTGGATGGGTTGGTAGACCTTGGCGGTTTGGATGTAGTGGAACAGGATGGGTGGGGGCCCCAAAAGGGAGAGAGTTAACTGTGCTCTGTCATCTCTTCACTCTGAAGATGGATGGGGTTGGATTGAAAGTGTGAATGAAGTAAGAATCAATGACTGATGCTTCTTTCCTATTAAAACAATCTTTTTTTTTTGTTGTCTGTTTTTAAAAGGGGGCTGGCTTTGTTTCTCCTGCCATAATGATGCAGTGCCTCTTGTTTTCAGAGCTGACATAGTTTGCATTCTGAAAACTTTTAGATGCCCAGGGTATTTCTTAAAGCTGTAGGACCCCTTGTATTGGTAGTCTCCTTACCACTGTGACTTGATTCATGCTGGAACAGCTTTTAACCCATAATGGATAGCCTGAACTACTCCTGAATCCTGTGGATGGGCAGTGTAATCTGTCATCTGATGACAATTCTGGAAAGCTCTGTTGAGCAGAAAACAAAATTGTGTGTCTGTAGACCCGCCAAAGTTTGAGGATTCAGGCTGTGTCCCAGAAACGTGTATCAACTTAATATCTGGGGGCTGGGTTGCTGGGTGGAGGTTTTCTTATAACCAGCATGGTTATAAATGGAATTATCTCTTCCCACACTTAAGACCTGAATCTACCTGTGCATGCTGTAACTCAAACAAGACACTCAAGTCTCTCTCTCTCTCTCTTTTGTTGGTCGTGGGGCCTGAACTTTCGGCCTGGGCGCTGTCCCTCAGCTCTTCAGCTCAAGGCTAGCACTCTACCGCTTGAGCCAAGTACCCCTTCCAGCCATTTCTGTTTATGTGGTGTCGAGGAATCGAATCCAGGGCCTCATGCATGCAAGGCAAGCACTCTACCACTGAGCCACCTTCCCAGACTGACACTCAGCTCTTAATCCTTTGATACATGTTGGAATGACTGAAATTTTGCAGGGTGGAATCTGGGCACTAACCCCACCCCTGTTTATTTCAGAAACTTCCAAGCCAATTGGCTTTTCTTGGAAAGCAAAAATTGAATTTTGTTAGAGGAACATATCTAAGAAAACTTTTTCCTTTCTGACTATTCATAAAAAGGAAATGTGGTTGTTTTCTCTAGTTTGTGGTTTTGGTCCCTATGGGAAACAACTAGTGTTCACAGAAAATATTAACTAAGCAGATAAATTACAAAATACATCCAAAATAGGGTGGATCCGAGTCAGGGATGAATGCTCAAGTATGTGAGCTCTCAGTGAGCTGTGATGTTGTTTCTGCTTAAGTTCCTATTTGCTATTACATTTCTTTTACCAGAGTTTCTTCTATAAAATTTTGAGGGTAGAAACAAAATTATGAAATGTTACTGATAATAAAAGATTCCTTCTCCTGTTGAGTCTATTATCTAAATTTTACTTATGCCTGTATCTATTAAAGCATATTGAAAGGGATATATTTCCATCCTAGATGATCTGAACAACTTCTTTAGCTCTGGGGCAGTATTATATTAGCAGGCTCAGGTAAATTGACTACTTGTGAGGGGAGAAAAATGGTCCTTTTGTATTCTTTGTAAGAACATTTTTATCTCTTTGCGATTCATCTTAGTCATTTTCAAGACTTACTTAAAGTGAGCATCTTTTTTAAAAGGCTTCTGAATGATAGAAGTATTTAAATCACAAATAGAAATATTGGCATATATTCCCAAAGAAGATGCCTTGACATGATGTGAGGCATAATGAATATCCTGTTCAGGTACTTTCCAAAATCCTTCTATGGAATTTTTAAGTTTCACAATGGAGGCGTCTCTTAAAAGTCAGATAAGATAGCCTTTGTTTTGAAGTTCAACCCCCCCTACACACACAGCACCCCAGACTGTGTCAGTTTCCTCCTTGAGAACTCTGTCCCAAAAAGCCTGTTCTCCTTTAGAGCATGTGATTATTAGAAAGCTGTTTCATCAGGTGGCTAAAATCTATCTTACATTAGTCCTTCACTCTTCTTTTTTTTTAAATTAATGTATCCTTAATTGGCAGAGACAAGCTTTCTATGCCTGATTTATTGAACTTCATATTTGTAATTGGGTGTTTTTTACGTGTAGCATTGTTAATTTGTTCCTCGGCTAGTCTTTACATGGTTGGTTTTAATGGACCAAAATTGGAGGCTTTCTTCTCACCGACCCACAATTTTTCTTGTAGGTATATTATTAGTGACACAGATTATATTACTATTGAATGTCCTATCTGAAATTCCATTCTCTAGTCTATTAACTGATTGATCATTATGCCTTTTATAAGTCAAGGATACAAAAAACATGACGTAGGAACAGCAGAAGGTAAAGGAAGAGGTTGAAGTTGAGAGAGGACATAGAGTACGTACCAACATAAGACCTTCCCCAGTGCAGTTCAGCAAGGGAATTCTGGCACTGTCACTGACAGCATTTGCCTCACTGCTTTCTGAGTGTGTTCATTTTGCTCATGTTCTTATATTTTCTTGCATTAGAATTTCCTACACTATCAAGTGGATAACAATTTTTAAAATATTGAAAACAGGGCTGAGAAGTTGGCTCAGTGGTAGAGTGCTTGCCTCTCGTGTGTGAGGCCCTGGGTTCGATTCCTCAGCACCACATAAGCAGGAAAAGCTGGAAGTGATGCTATGGCTCAAGTAGTAGAGTGCTCGCCTTGAGCTAAAGAGCTGAGGGACAGCGCCCAGGCCCAGAGTTCAAGCCCCTCGACCGACAAAAAAAAAAAAAAAAAAAATGAAAACATGGAATATTTGATACTATCATAGAGTGTCATTTCTAGGAAAGCAAAATGGATGTAAGCTAGAAATACTGTTCATCCCTTTTCACTTGTTCTAATATCACTCGTCTACTTTTTATAGAAAAAACTGAAATGGCCTTTTGGATTTACAAGCTTTCATAATATTTTACATTTGTATAGCCCTTCATAATTAAAGTACATTAACATACATTTGTCATTTGTCAGATTTCTAGCTTTAGACAACCCACTATTGATAATAATGTGAATTAGACAGCAAAAATTAAAAGTTGCCTTTTTTTTTTTCTTCTGCCAGTCCTGGGGCTTCCTGGGCACTGTCCCCGAGTTTTTTTTTGCAAGGCTAGCATTCTACCACTTGAGCCACAGTACCAGTTCTGGCTTCTTCTGATTATGTGGTACTAAATAATCGAACCCAGGGCTTCATGTATGCTAGGCAAGTACTCAACCACCAAGCCCAAAATTTGTCCTCTTTAATATTTTATGTTTTCTCTGTTTGTAAGTTCATAAAAGTAGGATTACAGTACAACTTTAAATATAAAATATATGTATTTTAAATAAAAATTCAGATTTGTATGCATGTTAAAAGTTGAGGACAAATTAAGACCTCATTTAATTAGCTGTTTTAAAAGGGGCATGTAAAGTGGTATATGCACACTACAATAATGTTGGCCTGCTGTGATTTATAATAAGACATTATACAAGGCCAATAGTGGATTATTAATAGATATTTAACTCTTTTTTTCTTTTTTTATTATAAAGGTACTGTACAGAGGGGTTACAGTTACATGAATAAGGTAATGAGTACATTTCCTACCGAACATTGTTAGATATTTAACTCTTTAAGCCTAGTTTAAACCAGGTGCCAGTGGCTGACATATATAATCCTAGCTACTCAGCAGGCTGAGCTCTGAGGATTGCAGTTCAAAGCCAGTTTAGGCAGGAAAGTCTGCGAGATTCTTATCCCCAGTTGGCTACCAAAAAGCCAAAAGTTGAGCTGTGGCTCAAGTGGTAGAACACCAGTCTTGAGTGAAAATAAGGGACAGTACCCAGGCCCCTAGTTTGAGCCACAGTGCTAGTACCCCCTCCCATTAAAAAAAAAAAAAGAGTACTTTACCTAAACATTAAATAGACAGTGCTGATGTACACCAGAGTTTGAATTTTATTTTCGTTTATTTCATCAAATTCTGAATGCCTGCAATGTGTGAAACCCAAGATAATTGTATGGAAATGCACAATTCATATCATGTAATTTTTGCCCTCCAGGAGCAAATGGAAGATCAGCAAATATTTGATTCATTTTTTTAGCATCTTTTGTTGCATAATAAGCTACACCCACACAAATTGGCTTAAAGTAACAGCCTTTTATTATTATTTAGCAATTTAGCTTAAGTTCAATAGGGATCACTCACACTTAGAAATCAGCTGCTAGATTGGAAAAGGACTGACTACTACATTTAATCTCACATCCAGGAGCAGCCTAATCCAGATTTACAGGTAGCTGATAGTTCCAAGAAAGTAAGAGGAAGTATGCAAACTCCTGCAAGCTGACTTGAGAGTAGGAGAGCATTC